GAATTTAGTACATTGAATTCGAGAACTTACGAAAGTCGTTGAATATTCCCCATGCCTCACACAGGGGGGGGGGGGGAGATGGTCACTGGGTGTTTATAATTTTCGAGGAGGATCATATGTACGTGAACGCACGCACATAAAGTTAAAAAAGATTAATCATCATCATTTAGTAGGCCTACATTGACTTTCATATCTAAATAATAAAATTTATTAGTTATCCCTCTCATACCATTTTCTTGATAATTGTCAATATTAGCAGATTGCAAGGGAGAACAAGTGTAAAGTTTATGATTAGCCATTTGCACCCATTATCTTTACTAAGAAGTGCATAAAATCATGCAGACGCCTATGTGTTGTGGGATATTTGCCAATTTATGGTGCCTAAGACTTACGGTAACGTCTAAACATATTCATTTTTATCGGGAACGCACGAAACGGATGCGATAGCTTTTTGAACGCCAGACGAAGACTACGCATACAACCGAGCTCAAAATTCCATATAGTTTTATTTCAGAGCAGGTATTACTGAGTACTATCATCTTCAACATGAAATAATCTGTATCTCGCTTATACATCCGAAGTTTAAAAAATCCGACATTTAGGTAACATTCGTATTGAATTGGTCTTTACACGGTAACTGCCAATTTCAAATCAATTCAAATTGCCCCCTGCTGTGATGTACGACCGTTGAGCGAAATGTAACGGAAATATTTCAATCCTTCCTTATAAGGCTATTTTTAAACATTAGTGCTTCGTATGTGATATACGTATATATTACCACGTAAACTAAAACATATTACCAGGGAGTCTCGATCAAAGCATATTTCGTGTGTAAAAGGACACAAAACATACATTTTTTTTTAGATATATTTCACAAAATATTTCGTCATAAATCACGGTGATATAATTTTTTTCTGATATTGGTATAAAAGTGTTCCTTGAACATTCACGAACTCATATCTATGCGCAATGTCATAATTAAATGCCTTATGCACGATTGCCGCAAGCAAAAGTCCACATAGGTGTACCTGGGCGCTCAATAGCGACGTACCTCTCCGGGTGCTGAGGGACTCGCACGCCGGCTGCAAGACAACGAGCCATAAGCAGGCGGTTAATACTCGTTTGGTAGTTTCCTCATCCATGTACCTATACTATACGCTAACTAACTCAATTTAACCCCCTCCTCCCCCCTCTCTCCGGGACGGTCCCCTTAAGGAGTTTCTACCCAACAGTTAACAGCGACTCAGTGGGTGGAGTCAGTCGCTTCGATCGGTTGTGAACGAGACATCAAACCGAGTCATTTGTTTCAGCGAGGATTCAGTTACTATTTTGATTGATCTGTTTACTTAATATTCGATTGATTTATTTATCTAATATCTTATTTATGTATTTAATTAGTATGCTTTTAGTAATGAGTATTTTATTCAGAATTTTCTAAATTTGTCAAAAGGTGTGTTTGCGAAAGGCAGTTAATCTGTTTTCTATATAAATGGGAGAGTAATACACAATTCATATTTAACTTCATTAATATTTGTCCATGAAAATACAACCTCCTTGGATGAGCCTTTAACATATTGATCAGAAATTACCTGGTCCCAAATTTCAGTAAAGTTCAGTACAGAAAATGTTGAAATAAATCACTACATAAAAAATAAAATCCAAAACGCAATCACAGCTTCAAAACAATTCTCAAAAGTTATCAAACGCATGCAGGATCGAGTCCATTCGAAAATTTCCCAAGATCATAACTTGCCATTGGCTTGGAATATGCATGGCCATGTGTGAGGTGGACATGACCTAAATGATGGGCATTTGAGAGCACCCGTTGAATCCCCTTGTGAACTGATTTGCATTATGAAAGCGTTTTGAATCGCCATAACAGAAGATCAGTAACATAATGGTGTAAACACCATTACGAATCGCTTGCCAAAACTTCAACATAACCTACTGGAATATTTGAGGAGTAAACATTTCTGCCAAAAATCGAGTATGACTGATAAATTAAATAACCGTAAAGAAAGAAGAAAAAATTAGTACATCATCTGTTTCTTACCAGCGTGTTGGGAAGATATCAAGAAAAAAAAATGTGGATTGGAAACAATGTCATTTCCTGATTACATGAATTTCCTTTAACTGATCTGTGCGACACTTCAGTTCGAGTGCTGAAGAACCACAAGTGGCGCTGCCTGAGAAGCCTCCAGAACTTTATTTGCCTCCGTCTGCCTTGTGATCAGCACATCGGGCACAAGTTTCATTAATTTTCACGGAATGTTGGTGCAGAGTTCCCATGCGCCCTTCGAAGAGGATGTCGTTAACAGCCTTCCTCGCATAAATCTGCTGCTCGGCTTTCAAATGCCTGAAATCCTGAGCCCAACACCTTCCCAGGATGTCGGCGAAGTCCTCACTCTGACGAAGACGACAAGAAGTCGTTGGGCAGGATTCTTCTTCCTTGTTTTGTACATCCTTCTTCTGCCGCTTGTTGGGTGGTTGCAAGTCCACCTGTTGCGCTCCTCCGGTGTTATCAACTTGATAATATGCCTCCTGTAGAGAAGGAAAGATGCTTTAAGAACTTGGAAGAGAATGCACACTCCATGCGTTATGATAATTGCATTTCTGTTAAGTGACATTTCCTATCCATACTATTAAAGAGATGCTGAGTGAAGAATAGACGAAATAATGGGAGGAATGAATAACATGTTTGTTAAAGTGACGATAGTGATTAGAAGGTAAAATGGTATAAAGAGGCAGGTGTTCTCAACAAAATTAACACGTCATGGGCGATGCGACCCACTGGGAAGTCATAATACATTTTTTTTTTTCTTTTGCGATGTGACCTGCCGATGGCTCGAAATTAATTTTTTTTCTATGTTTCGTTTTATTAATGCGGTTCCTGTTTTATGCTTCTTGAATATTGGTCTATACATATCAAGACATTTAGTTTATAGATAATGTAACTCGTTTTATACATAAAACATTTGGTTAACACCGATATAATAGAATTATATGAAAATTATCAAGACGAATAAAGTATAAAGTCCACATTTTTAAAAAGAAACCGTCACAGGCAATCATTTTGATACTAATAACTTTTTTTTTTTTACTAAATTTCCTACATATTCCACAATAATATCAATGCGTTCCTAACATTCTGAAAATACAACATACAGCTTACATATACCTCCCTACCCTCACCCCGTAGATCTGTAGGCCTACTATTCGCACTTAATAAATTTCGTTCTCCACGCTTGGTGTATTTTAACTTTCTTTTCTTATTTTTCGTGGTGGTTCGTATCCCAAAGACATTATCATTCTCTCTCTCTCTCTCTCTCTCTCTCTCTCTCTCTCTCTCTCTCTCTCTCTCTCTCTCTCTCTCTCTCTCTCTCTCTCTCTCAATTCAATTTGAAACACCGGTGATCCAACAGAGTCTTCAAAACATTTAATAAAGTACTTCCTGTGTTGAACCGTATAGGCGAAACATATGTTCATTTTTGGTTTATTTGTATATTGGACGTGACTACGAGTACGGCAGAAAAGCCCCCATATTGGCGTTCTGCGCATGCGTGATGAAACAAACAAGGTGAAGGCTGCCACTCAATTAGATTAGGTTAGATTAGGTTTGGTTTAAGTTAGGTTCGCACTTATTACCCGGAAATAATGTTTCTATGCGTATATTACATATCTGACGTACGCCTAACCGCGAGCATTCGGATACGGCTGCCGTACGCGTAACAACGGTCTTATCTATTTTTCATTTCGCATTTAATGGGGAAGTCGGCATCATTGCCAGTCCCGCAGAACGTGTTAACCTAATAACGACTGGTACAGTGACATTCGTAAGGATATTCGTATAAACAGACATCCTTATGCACAGAAATAAATGCATATCTATCGATCTATCAAGTAAATATGCATTTATTGTTCTATCTTTACGGTAGATATACATGTCTAGACTGATAGACATGCATTTATTTCTGTGTATGTGCATGTCCGTGCAATGAGTGTCAGTTAGGTCGGGCCTGGCACAGTTCTAACAAACAGGCCGAAAATGTGTGCAAAAAATGTGAGGATTTAGGAAAGGAAGGAAAGGATTGTCTTGTTTTGCTGACAAAAATGGAAATGTTTAAATTAGGGAGTCAAATAATGATAGCTGATGATGATTGTTATTGATGATGGTGATGATGATTATTATTATTGGTGATGATGATTAATGATGATAATAATTATTATTATAATTATAAAAATGATAACGATGATGATGATTGATGATGGTTATTGATGACGATTATTATTATTATTGTTGATGATGATGATGTGTTAGCAATTTCTACCGAGATACTGAAACCATTAGAGTTACATCAAAGTAAGGGAATCTATCTGTAGGATCACAATGATGAAATATTTCCATATTTTGTCAATCATTTGGGCTATTAATCAGTGGATTAAGTTCCCCTTCTCTGGAATGGAGACAAGATAATTCTTTATTTCTTGATAATTAACGCCTCCCCCCCCCTAAAAAATAATAATAATAATAATAAAAATATCTTACCACAGCTCGTAAAGCATTTTTATCTTCACTTTGTAGGATTAACAGACCCGTTTGGTATATTTCTTCGTCCCGCAAAAAATACATAGATTTAAAGTACCACAGTGTTGGCCTATAAATCTCGCCGTTTTCCGCCTTCTCACTCCTGATCACTTTCCTCAACTCGCGGTGATAATTTATGCGAAGATTCCTGATTTTCCTCTTGACCGTTTCCTGATCTGCATTAGGCTCGATTTCTCTCAGCTTTTCCAACAATTTGTCATAGCATTCGGTCTCCGAGGGCTTGTCCCTGTACGCTTTGCTGTTGACCTTCCATAGCACCGGCATTGCTTCATAGAGGCTGATGAATTCTCGCCAAAAGTTTGCCTTCGACATGGTTGCTCAATGAATGGCCGAAGACTGATTGAATCCTTGGCACTGTCAGGCACTCATGAGGCATATAACCGCTAGCGTGATTTTGATTGGGGTATATTGAATAATAAATGATGTGTGTCATTCGTAGTAACGTGTGGTAGAAAACTGCCTGAAACGCGCAATGCATTGTAAAAGGATATATTGAAAACGCTTGTGGATGCATGCTTGCGTTGCTGAAATGGCGTTATAGATGGGTGTTTTTTTAATCAAACCAACAAAATAACATTAAAAATAAAACCAAGTTTCGTAAGAGTGTATGCGAAAGTTGGGTAGTGTAGTATATATTTTTTTCTAAATCCTTTTTGCAGATAAGAACCATCGAACAAGTCACGCTTTGAACATCAGCTGAGAAGCGGACATTTTTAAAAGTCGTTCTTCGTCGGGGATTTAAAGGCGGGCTTTTAACTATTTACGTAAGTTCTTGTAAATACGTTTATTAGTAAGTATTTTAAAGTGGTGCAGGTTATTAAGGTGTAGTTGAGAGCAATATAAAGTTAAATTTCATGTTCTGTGTTGAAGAAATGACATTGTTTAGGTTTGTTTGTAAATATAACGCCTAAGATGCTGTAAATAAAGAGGTCAGTGTGATGCCAAGGAAGTTGAATTCCTCGGCTTCTGTTGTTTCCTGAAATACTGTTACGTTTAGGAATATTTGATTTATTTAGATTGATAGTCATCATCTTTATTTCAGCTCAAGGTGGGAACTTTAGATCTTTAATGAGTTATATACCGTATGAGTTTGACAGTACTAAAGCGCGCCAAATCCTTGTGAGTAATTTTTCTAATACGTCCGCATAACGGATCGTGATCATTTTAGTATTGTTCGATTCCTCTCACTCTTTAGTTTCTAAATATACAGACATTATTGTGTGGACACTCCCCAAACCCCTAGATTCTTGGCCCCGATAGATGGGGAGGGCATGAAAAATACCAGGGAAATTGTGGGATAAAATGTAGATAATATACACAAAATCCATCACTATAGTGTATAGCACAGGGGGCTGTGTCCCCTACAACCTTCCATCGGGGGCTTCCACCCTCCAGCCCTGCCCAGGAAGATAATGAATCCTGCACGTATTCGTGGCAGGAGAGAGCGTCAGACAAACTTGGCAATGCTGCTCCCGCAAGGCGGTTGTACACTCTCTCTGGCTGTAAATACCTTGACGATTCTTTGTTTTCCTGGCACCCCTCATTAGGGGGTTGCAAGGCATTACACCACATAGTGACTGATTCTGTGTATATCTATATTTCATGTCCTCCCTTGCTATTGGGGCCAAGAACATGGTGGTTGGTAGGGGCTTCCGTGCAATAAAAGTTATATATTTGGATTGTAGATGGTGAGAGGAATCCAACGATACCGAAATCATTGCAGTCCGTTATGCGGATGTATTAGAAAATGTTACCTCGTTTTGCTTCTACTTTCAGAAATATATTTAAAAGGTTGGTATAAGTTACTAATAGCAATGTGCGTTGATAGAGGGAAATGGGTACCGTCATCTTATAGCGCAGAAAAAATAGAATAGGATGCAACATAGTTTAAGCTGCAGCGGCCTCATATTTACCAGTAAATTTGAAAAATGTATGGCGCATAGTGCTGCTCAGAGACCGAGTCCACAACACCACTTTGCTGCTAAGGATTAAAAGGAGGCAGTAATTTTTAGATTTCACAAAGGCATCCAACTGTGCAGTTATTGTTCCTTGTTTAAATTTTTCACTGTGTGTTCTGTGTGAATCTGATGTAATTCTTTACAGAGACAAAGCCCTTAACTCCATGTAACAAAATTAATTCAACAAATCACGTTGCCTTGACTGGGCTTGCCCGAGGAAGGAGTTGAAGGGGTCTTTGCCCGCAACACCCTCTGGGAAACATTGTCTTCACTCGAGTATGCATGACAAGATAGAGCTGAAACTTGGGAGCATCAAGTTGACTAAGTAGCACTTTCCCAACCTTTTTCCTTTATTTGCAGCGTTACCATTTTTGTCTGCAGATTATTCCTTGTACTGAGAACTGCAATTTTTTTTGTCCTTTACAGGAATATAATATTCAGTTTGCCCTACCTTAGTGCATCCATACTGTAAAGATTAACCTCTGTTGTTTTCATTCACAAATGACAGGCTCAGGAAATGAGTGACTCTTGGTAATTGTTGATGAAGTGACCAGACCCATGTAAGACTAAGTCTACATTACTCTAGACAACCTTGGGGGGGGGGGGGTGTACTCCTGGGAATCTACAATTTACGATTATATGAGTCCAGATCCTTCCTAACCTGGGGGCTCAGCGCGTGGATCCCCTCATGGTCATAGTGGCCTTACTCTCTGTGTGGCATTTGTTGCAACCTTTTTTCTTAATTTCTGATGTTCTTCCTTGCCTGAACAGATTTCACATATTTGTGTAGGTTTTTCCCTCCCTTTGTGACAGCATCATTAGATTTTTCCTCTTGTAATACGATTGTTATGTTAATGTACACCAAAGTTTTACATATGTGTTAAATAACTTTTGTCTGATAAATTTAGTTGTTCTCTCCATTACAGGCACACTTTACCTTGTATTATATGGCAGTGTAAAAGGGAACCTATACCAAAAAGTCATTAACACTGAAAGCATGTCAAAGCAGAGATGATTAATTAGCAAGACACCCACCTCTGCCATTGGCACAGCACCCCTTTGATCTAGGAAAGCCAGCAAACCTTCACCACATATATTCTGGCAAGGTAGGGCTTGCAGTCCACCTTGGTGATTTGTAATTAGATGTGAAACCAGTCCTAACTCTATCTTGTCAGAATTTATGTGCTGGAGGTTTGTTTGAGCATAAAATGAGGAGGTGGCAGCACTCACTTGATGTTCTGCCAGTCCAATAATCCTTACCATGTTACAGAAGAAAAAATACTGCTGAAGTTTGTAAAAACCTGTATCTTGTAGGGAAGTGCATGTATATAAATGAGAAAGTGATATTTAAATTTTATTATTATTATTATTATTTAGATACAAGGTATAGTAACAGTTTTGGACACAGTAGAAGTTAAGAAAAAATATGAAATTAATAGATCAAGGAATTCTAATATTTTATTTTCATTCCAGACTCTTGTCACAAATTGAAAATAAGAAAGTTGTTTAAATAAGTACTGTAATAAATAAATACATTTCAAGATTGTATCATTTGTATAATATTTAGAGCTCCCTTATCATGTATTGTTAAATGAAGAAATACTCCAAGCTCTGTCCAAAACATGTTACTTATTTATATGTCTGTGTGCATTTATATGATATTTATGTCATACTGATATTTATATTATTTTTTTTAGTTTATCAGCATGAAGACCCCAGACAAGGAGCCAGCATTACAAGCCCCCATTTTACCTTGCACCTTAGTTGTGGAGACTCTTAATGCTGGGGGCACGGTGAAAAAGTCAACTACTTACAAACAGATAAAACTCATCTTGGGGCGAAATGAATTCAGGTAATTGCACCAACTGTGTGTGAGAGAGTAGTTTATTTTTAATGTTGAATAATTCTAGACTATAAAAGATGAATTGTAAAATAGATGTATTGTTTGCTATGGATGTAAGTATCCATTTATATATTCTTTTTTATGTGCAGTTTAAAAAGATATATGAAAATATTCCAGGGACCTGATACTGCGTCTAGATTCCCCAAAACACTCTCTAAAATTTCCACTGAGAGACTTTGTACTCCATAAGCGATTCTTGAAGGAGGGAAAAGCCACCATCAGTCTGAAGGATGTGAACTTAAACTTGATGATAGCAAATGCCCCTCCAAATCAGCTGCTTGTCTTTATGAAGACACTGGCTGGAAAGCATGCGGTAACTGGTGTAAATGGGGGAGTGATTAATGCAAGAAAACGGCTTCTGTCAACAGTCCCAAAAAGCTTTGAGGAAATCAGTCCTCTTACTTTTAATGTAAGTAAATGCTTATTCAATTATTGGCCTAATAACTGATTTAACTTGGTTATATGGAGGATAGATTTTGTCTTTTGCTTACTGGATCCAAGGAAAAAAAAAGTAACAAATTTGGTTTCATATTTTTCTTTTCTAGGAGTATGAAACAGTGCGGAAAAATGGAGGCAAAATGCCCCTGAAGGAGAGAGCTGCAAATGTTCCTGATGCTTCCCCTGTTTCTAGTAAACGTAAACGGGATTCAAAGGTAATTTCACATTTACTGCATCTTAGAAGTTTGCATCACTAGTGCACCCATTGTCTGTCTTTGGTGTTTGTTTGTTAAGTTTTCTATTCTGTCTGCAGATAGTAGCTTATGAAATAAGTTAAGTATAGAAATCTCTAATGATTTTTCTTGGTGTATTACATGTAAAAATTCTGCAAATTTTTATATACACTAAAAGTATCACGATTCCTCTTGTCATATCTTTAAGCTTTTATGTGTTAGAGGTTTTATCCGCTTTTTTTGTTTGTTTGTTTGCAGGACGCCTCAGGTTCCTCGACACCTAAAGTTCCACGTTTTCTTAACCCTCTAGTCCTTACATCTGAACAGAAACGCGTGTTGCAAGTTGTACAGTCTGGCTTAAATGTATTTTTTACTGGTAAGATTAATTTTGTGTGTGTGCTGCCTCTGCCATTTTCTGTTGATAATTGATGTATATAAATGTAACCTTATGTGTTTCTATAATGCTGTATATTTGTGCATGTTAGAAATCATCTTTACATTTTCCATTAAACATTGATTCATGCTTTACCTTTGGAGAATAATTAGTAAATGATCCAAGTCAACATATTTTCCTCTCTATGTTTTAAAAAGTTGAAATTATTTCCTTTCCTGTTAACCTGTTTCTAACAGGGAGTGCTGGTACTGGCAAAAGTTTTTTGCTGAAGCGTATTGTTGGTGCTCTTCCTCCTGATGTTACTTTTGTGACTGCAAGTACGGGTGTTGCTGCCTGTCAGATTGGGGGAACTACATTACATGCATTTGCAGGTAAGAACTTTGAAAACATGTATGGAATTAATATGGATTTCATGATATGTGTGTTTTTTTTAAGGATTTGGTATAAAAGCAAATACTATTATACTTT